TTTTAAATAAAATATTTCTTTTTATTTGCAAATACAAAAGCATAATACTTTTAACTAACACTTCCTATTTTAAAGGACCTTAATTGATTAAAAACTATACTTTTGATACATAATTTTTTTTTTTTTCCATAACAGCACTTAAAGTAGCACTACTGATGAAATAACAAACAAGGCCTCTAGTGTTAAATATATTTTGTAGTATTTTGTTAAATATCTTTTTAGAAATATAAAAAACTTTTATTGAAGTTGTTATTTTGCTTGACATACATCTATATATATATATATATATATATATATATATATATATATATATATATATATATATATATATATATATATATATATATATATATATATATATATATATATATATATATATATATATATATTATATATATATATATATATATATATATATATATATATATATATATATATATATATATATACATATATATGAAATTTTAAGTTTAATAATTTGGAGATGAAATTTCAAGTGTAATATTTTGGATCATAGATTCATTTTCAAATTTATTACAAATCATATTACAAAAATTCATTATTTACATTTGTCATTGCTGCAAAATATTATAAAAGTTTTGCATAACAAAAGTTTTGCTTAAAAAAAATAATTTATTTTTGGGGTAGCTACAAAGTGTTACAAAGTTTGCAAACAAACCATTCAAGTGGAATACTTGAGTTAATTGAACCATATAATTGTTTGGCAGGGTTTGCAATTCCGGAGGGCTTTCTCAATCCCGGAATCCTGGGATTGAGAGACATCAACCCCGGAGTTTGATCCCGGGATTGAAAAACAGATATAGCATCTATATAGTATTAAATCTATATAGAATAAAAATCTATATAGAATAAAAATGTACACTTTTAAACAAAATTATATTTTATAAATGATGCTGTTTTCATTACATTGGTACATGCATAGAAGAAAAACATGTTAATGATAAGAAACTTCATTAGAAATAAGGAAATATATCATGTTTCATGTACTTTGAAATGTGACTTTAGGAAGCAGAATGTGTCTAATGTTTTATCGCCCAACCTGTTATGAATTTTATTATTAAAAAGTCTAGTGGAACAAAATGCCTGCTCAGCCTTGACACTTGTTGGTTTCACCATCATTAGAAATGAATAAACTCTTTCTAAATAATCACCATGTGTACCACCATTTTCAAAAAATGTCATTTCTTTTTGAATTTTTGATAACAATGTTTCATGTCTAACTGGTTGCATTGGTGATTGCGCTTCTTTAATTACTTGATCAAGCTCCTGGTCAATACTTAAATTGTTATTTTCAGTTTCAGGTTCTTCAATAAAATACAGCATATCAGACTCAACTGATGCTCTTACTAAAGCAGGATTGGAAGCTTTTAATCTTTCCAGCATCTCTACCAACAGTTTTTGACGTTTAAATGAAGAAGACACTGTAATTATTTCTTCATCAACTTCAATGGAGCTTCGACCATTATGCAGGTATTGCAGAAGTCTACTCATATCAGTTTGGTGTTCATGTATACAAGTCATTAAAGCTGTATACATTTCCTTGCTTGTGTTTTTGTCAGCATCTTTTAATTTTTTAAGCATAAAATTAATAACAATGTCAGCTGTAAATCGGTTAGAATCTCGGCGACAATGTGCTTTAGCCGTTGCTTTAATAAGAACTAAAGTTGTAATAATATCTGATAATATTGTCAAATCATCATGCGACAGAGCTATAGAATTGACGCTTCCTCGTCAGTATTACCAGCTGCAGGAGGAGCAGTAAAAGATGCTGGAGAAGTTGCAGGCTCCTTTTTCCAAAAGTTTATGAGTGGTATAAGTGCATCCACCCTGTGGGCAGCAGTTTTATTGATCGTAGTTTAATAAATTAATGATTTTTGTAAAAATTAATGATTTTTGTAAACAATTTTTTACTTTATAAAATTGTTTAAGCATTAGCAGAATGCTGCTCCACCTTGCTTTGCAATCCATAATTAAAGACAGTTGTTTTCCAAATTCAGCCTTAATATATTTTTGTAAGATGTCGTTCTTGGTAGGTGATTGTCTAAATATTATTATCAAGTTGTGTACTTTTTTAATGACTGGTCCATAATGAACTTCATTTAGTTCAATATTAGATCTTAAAGTTTCATGATTGTAGCCCAGTAAATCATCCTCAATATCCTCATTCTCGAATGAATCACTGTCAAAATATTCATTTTCAAATTCTGGCTGATTTGCATCAAATTTTGTTTTTTTATGAACAACATCAATTACAGCAAGTTGTATGCCATGGGCAAAATATAATTGTTGATTTGCAGCCAGCAACCTTCCAACTTTTTTCATAACACTAGCTTTGTTGGTCATTATAGCCACAATGTCGCAGTGTAGATCAAGACAAAAGTCTTTAAGTTTTTTTTTCTAATAGTTCAATGCATTTTTCTGCTGGCATTGACCCTGTTATTCTCACTTAACCCAAACTCCAAAACTGAAATTTTTTTCTATGAATGTTAATATTTTTTCCATGAATGTTATAAAATTTTCTTTATCGTCAAAAGATAAAGAAAATTTCTCTCCTACCCTGAATTCTGTACTCTTGAGCGCTTTAATTTGCTGAACTAAACCTAATCTTACTTTTTTGCTGTACTCTACTACATGATTACGAATTGTGTTTACTGATGTTGGTAGATTTCTGAATCCCTTAGCAGTTAGAGCGCACGTAAATCTATTGAAGAACAAATCACATTAAATGAAAGCCCGTCAGGCGCCGTTAGACAAGCAAGTGTAGCATGAAGTGTTTTATCTTCCTTTTTAAAAATCGAAAAGTATTGTGTTAGTGGTTTAGATTTCTTTTTTGGTGGTTTATCTGATGTGCTTTCTCCAGTAATATTAGGTTGGGTTGGACTTGGGTTGAAATTAGAAACGTGCCATATTATATTGATATGCATAAATTGTTGTTATTTTTATATATTTTTTGATTTCCCCTTTTTTTTTGCTCGATCGTATAGGGAATCTCAGGATTGATATTAGACAATCCCAAGATTTTAGGATTATATAAAAGGCTGGGATCGTGGGATTGTAAACCCTAATATATATATATATATATATATATATATATATATATATATATATATATATATATATATATATATATATATATATATATATATATATATATATATATATATATATATTTGTTGTTCCATGCAACATGTTCAATTATGTTTCGCTAATATTACACTTTTTGCAGGAGCAAATTTGTGCACACCTGGATAAGAATTTATAGGAAGAGATAGAGATATTTATAGGATGTTCATTTATGTGATAAACTTTGAATTTTTTGGTGATTTATAAACTGGTTTTATGCTCTTTTGAAAACTTTTCTTTACTTCAGACTAATTCCTCAAATCCCTGGAATTTCTGTTAACGATGAATATTTTTTAATGACATCGATAAATGTTGAGTTTCAATATTCTGTTTTTTTAATATGTAAACTTTCTTTAGTGGTTTTAAGGTTTTCCAGGTTTGTTTTTTTATAACCATTTTCTACAAAAACATCAATTAAAATAATAACTCTTGTTCAATATTATTTTCAGAGCATAAATATAATGTCCTATGAATAAATTCTTTGAAAACTCTATGTATACTTTTTGGATCATGGCATAAGTTAGGTTTGATCTGGACATTAGTTATGACATTTTTAAGATAAACTCTAAAACCATACATATCAATTTTATTGTTAATCATAATTATATCAAGAAAGTTTAGCAAGAAAGTTTAGCATGTTATTTGCAGTTTCCATGGTGTACTGAATATTTGTAAAAAAGTTTTTTACATCTTTAGTAGAGTTAAAATGTGAGTGGAAGTCATTGGCATATCTTTGAAATCATTTTACATGAATATTATTAGAAATTGTTTGTGCATATATCTAAAAGTGTTTTTATTTTATCAAAGGTGAGTTTTTTAATCTTTTAAAAAAAACGATTATTTCTTCCTTTACTGGGACTGAGTGATATAAATTAATAACATCAAAAGACATTTAAATTTCATTAGGGTTTTTAAAACATGTATTGGTCTATTTGAGCATGAGTTGTATCATATCAGTTCAGAATTTCAAAATTTTTTATGTAGTTTTTCCTATGGTGGTTACAATATTACACATCACTTGGATAAAGATCTTTATATTCTTTTACTGTTAAGCGACCTGTTTTATTTAGTTTTCTGAGTGTGTTTTGAACTTTGCCAATTTCTTTAAGAGTTGAATCATAGTTCTTGCTTTGCCTCCTAAATATTTTTGTATTTTTACTAATGGATTATCAGAGTTAATTTTTACTATTCAAGATCCTTTGTTGAATGGATATATCCTTATATTATTATCTCATAGATTTACATTGTTCTTTAGGTTACTTTTTATAGGTTATATAGCAAATGGTTCAGTTATCATTATAAAATATAAATGAGGATTTTGGACAAATTTTAGACCGTGATCAAGTAGTTTTTTATAATGTATTGGTTTATCAGATTTGGCTAAACTAAGTGTTTCTAAATTAAATTAAGTGTTTCTTTTTTAATTCTAAATTAAATTAAGTGTTTTTTTTAAATTGATTTGTAATGGTTGTAATTGTTGTACTTTATTTATGTGTAAAGTGTCAAAAATATATTTTTTGTGCGTTTTAAGTTTCAAAATGCCAGTCTTAAACCAATTGTTTTTTATATATTATGTTTATACTATATTGTACCTGCCCAACCAATATTTAGTTGATAAATGAATACTTATATGCGCATTAAAAAAAAAAAATAAATAAAAAAATATATAAAAAAGAATATGAATTAAAAGAGAACAATTAAAATTAAAATTAAAAGTAAATATATCTTTCTAGCCCATAAAGTTGTGGTTTTTAAAAAACGACTAAATTTAATTGAAACTCTGATTTTTTAAACCTTCATTTAAAAAGATTGCTCTCAAAACAAAAAAATAAAATAAAATAAAATATTCTATTTAGATTTGCGTCAGTTATGTGTTAAACTAGAAAATGCAGTATTATCAAAAGATGAGCTAGTGTGAGTTTTTTTTACTTTTAAAGATGTTTATTGTAAATATTTTTTTGTTTTCAGGCTTTAATAATTATGTATGATAAGATGCAGCGTGATCCTCGAATACAGAACTGTTATTACTGAATATTAAATATATGACAACTTGAGGTTAATATCAAGATAATATTATCTTTAATTATGTATGTTATTAAATATATCTATTAAAATTTAGCGTAATGATGGCATAAGATAAAGTTTATTTGTGTAATGTTTGTAATGAATTTCGCCATGTTGTCCTGAGGTTTGAGAAGAGAAAGTTTAAATGTTTAAATGTTTTGGTATAATAATGGTCTCTATACAGTAATATTTCGTCTCCATTTCTCGAACTTTTTATTGACTTTGAATTAGAATAGCAAGCAAGTTTTCATTATTTAAGTATAAGGTTTCGGAAATTAACCTTCCCTATCCTCATCCCCATTCCCCATCCTCGTGCAAATTGTTCATGCTTGAAAGTGAAAGAAAAACATATAATAAAGAGGTTAAGAATATACTAAGACTATTCTAATGAAGATGTTCTGAATATTCTAATATAATATTCATATGAAAAGAGATTAAGATTGGAATGCAAGACGGGATATTAAGTGAAGGTCAACTTGAACTGACAAAGTTAGACTTTGAAGTCTTGACAAACCAAATGCATAAGTCAAACTTGAAAATTTCAAGATTATAATTATATTATAGCAATTATGACATATAAATGATTTGAACTTTGAAGTCTTTGTCAAGTTAGGCTTCAACAAAAACTTGAGCAAATGCGTAAATGAAACTTGAGAATTTTAAAAATGCAAAATTTTCAACCAATAACAGCTGAGTATTTGTGAAGGGAAAATTTTAAATAAGGCAAATTAACTATATATATTTTAAAATAATATATCTTTGTTTTATAATTCGAAATATTAACTTACAAAAATATACTAAAAGGTGTAACAAAAATAACAATTTTTACTTTTGTATTTTATTTTTATTATAACTAGTAGTTTAATAAAAAAATACTGGATTTAATTAAAAATGTATTACCTTCTATTTATTCCAAAGCTATAACAATGACATAACAGCTGCTTAATGCTCAAATGGTATTGGTAAATCAAAGTATTGTAAATCATTATATATATTATTCGGTTATCAGCAAAGCATATATGCTGGACACAAAGTTGTTTTATTTTATTTTTTTTGTAAAATTTTTTATTAAAAAAAACATTTAATTTCAACAAGGCTTCAAACAAAATCAAATTACGTTGGGAGTTAACAAAAATAGTTTAAAATTGTGATCAATACAAGGACAAATATGATATATATTGAGGTAGTAAGTGAATGAGGCCCTGACCCTGACTAATAGTGAGAATTTTTGCAAACCTGGCCCCAGCCCGACCCTGGCAAAATTATAAAATTTAATTATAAGAATACTTAATGTATTATAATTTTATGCTTACATATATTATTTATTAAATACTTGCATACATTTATATATTTTTAAACTCTAATTTATTTCTAATTAGATTGCAAGCAACCACTATTAAGTTATACTTACTTTAAATTAGAGAATAAGTTAAATTACTATAAAACGTATAAATGAAGACTTAAAAAGTTGTAAATTGCATAAAAAAGGAAAACATGAAGATGGGTAAGAGTTATAATGTTCAAAGAAAAAAACTGCATTAATAAAAGTTCTTATAGCATGAAGAGACAGATACAGTAACAGGATGCAACTTGTTGAATAAATAGCAAAGCAAAAATGAGTTTTGGTTTATTGTTATAGAGATGATCCTTGACATTGTCAATATTTGTATTTGTAGAAAAAAGAAAGAAATGCAACCTTAAATCAATGGAAGAGTGGCTCAAGCAGCATAAAGTGGTATCAAGCAGGTATAATTACAAGTGGCACTCAAGTGGCATAAAGCAGGTCTAATTACATTTACAATGTGCTTTTAGACTTTGTCTGAGAATAAGAGGGTTGTCATTCGTCAATATAGGACGACGTCAATATCGCCAACAACATTGCAATATTTCTTTGCAGTAAATAAATAAGTTTTGTTGTCTAACAAAAATTATGAATTTAAAGTCGAGAATTAGAAAGACCAGAAACAGAAAATCCATAAGCTACTGCAAGACTTAGGCTGTTACAGAACAGAGATCAATTTTAAAATCAGCTGCTTGTTCTAAGAAATTAAAAAGTGAAGATTTTTTGTCAAGACAAGTGTATAAAGTTGAGTCTTCAAGCAAATAGAGCCACCTTAGATTTCACGAATATCGTTATTGTAGATAAAAAATAATACAGGAGTAAAGATAGAACCTTGTGGTACCCTTAAAGTTACTTGAAATAAAGAAGAGGGTCGGCATTCAAGAATTACTTCACTACTGCAGTTAGAAAAAAATAATTTAACAACCTCAAAACCTTATATAAAAAAACTAATAACAGAGTGATGACTAATCGTAACATAGTTGGAGTGAACAGAGTGATGACTAATCTTTGGAGTGATCAAAGTGTGTTCTAGAGTTTTGAAAAATTGGAACCACTTTTTTTTAAAACTATGAGAAATTCTGGAGAACACTTTTTTTAAGACTATGTTGGAAACCTTGTCTGTAGCACAAACTGTAGAAATGTTTAATTGAGAATTAATTTTAGTATTGGTAGCCAGAGTGATTTTGATATTTAACAATGGGTTAATCTGTTTAACTGACAGGAAGAGTATGGCAATTGTATTCAAGAGTCAAATTAGAGTAAGATTTCTTTGCAAATAACTCTGCTTTATTCTAGGGTTAACTAAAAAGATCAGACCCATAAATTAAAGAATAAACAAAAGTCTCTAGAATCTAACATCTGAGATAGGATGCAAGATTTAGTAAACTAAGAATGACAAAGCTTAAATCGGATAGTACTTTTTTACATTGGCTTCTTGTAATAATAAAATGACACTTGTTCTCAAGAGAGATGTTCATGTAAAAAAGATGAAAAAAATGATTAATTTTGAAAAATGTGTATATATATATATATATATATATATATATATATATATATATATATATTATATATATATATATATATATATATATATATGTTATGATTGGTAGTTTGTTTTTTATTTCAAGTTTACTTTCAAGACTGGGTTGTTTCGAACTTCAAAAAACCAATTGAAATCTTTCCAGAACGAATTCATTTCCGGTTCATTTCTTGCATTACATTTTAGTCAGACTTCAGATTTATAGTGTAACTTCAAATTTCAAATTCGCTTCTTGCATTAGGAAACAATTTTTGATTTCTCCAGTAAGCCTTTTAAGCCTAATTTAAAAACCGCTGGTTTTTTAAGTATAACTTGAGTTCAAGTTTGTTCAAGTCAAATTTCAGTTTTAAAGTATGACTTCAAATTTCAAATTCGCTTTTTGTATTCCACCCTAAGACTATTCTAATGTAATAATCATGTAATAAAGAGAATACTATTCTAATTATTAAAATTATACTTATTATGTTATTACATTTAGGTTGTTTTTTTTTAGTGGATGTGTGAAAAATTCGCTCGTATATCTCCCAAAGCCACCACTTCAAATTAACAACGCGATATTTTTGCACAGGCGTAATCGTTTGATCTCCGCAAAAAAAACATCCGAGAAATGATTCGCATGGCGCAATTACATACTTAAAATGGTCTGACTAAGTTTTGTATTGGTTTAGAGAAAAGTTTTTCGAAAAAAGATTCATTAACGTTGATCAAACATTTTACTAACATGTTTTTAATGTTGATCAAAGTTATTGCTGTGTTTTTTTTTTCAAAGCTGTTAAAACTTTATAAAATGCTTGTTATTTTATGTACTTTAAATTAAATATATTTATAAATAAGTATATATATAACTCTAAAATTTTCGATCCTTCTAACGTAGAGTAACAAGTTTATAGATTTTTTAATATTATTTTTAACTGTGTTTATATTCATCGATAAATTTTAAATTTTATACAATAATCTCTTAGCGTTCAAAAATGGCCATATAAAGTTTGCCCCCCCCTCTCCCCTTCTTCCTTTTTTTTTTCTTTCTTGAATTGAGGTTTAAATATTCATTATATCTAAATACTTGAAGTAGGCTACTGAACTAGTGCTAATAATTAGGATTTTATAACATTATCGAATGTTTATAAATTTTAAGGTCTTTCAAAAAAAATATCTTTATTCGGTGGTAACTTGACTCGCTTATCTTAATAGTTTATTAATAAATTTTTATTATTGTTATTTTTAAATAAAAAGACATTGCGAGCTTACTGCAACGTGGTTGAAGGTGGTATTGTTATTATTTTGTTGTCTTAGGATTAGCAAGTATATGGGATTTCATCAGCTTTAAAAAATCTCATAATAATGTTGTAAAGTTGTTTTTTGGAAAATAGCATTAAAAAAAAATAAATAGATACTGGTTGCAATTTTAATATGCATGTTTCTTACGCCACAACATCTTATTTAAAAAAATAGAGTTTTATGGAATTAAAGGAAATATTTTAATGATTCTTAAAAGTTATTTAAGCAACCGTCTGTTATTTAATTGTTTTAGCAACAGTTTGTTGATAGTAATAAAACTGTCTCTTCCAAATTATTAGATATAACATGTGCCTCAATTTTCTATACTAGAATCTCTTCTCTTTTTAATTTATATTAATGATCTCCCTAAAGCCTCAAATTTAATGGCGGTCATGTTTGCCAAGGATACTAATCTCTTTTTATATTATAAATACATTATTCTAAAATATGAACATCGAATTAACAAAAGTTTCATGCCCATACTTTTTGTTGACAAAATTCAAATAAAAAGAGAACTAACTACTAACTTTTTAGGAATCAATATTGATGAAAACCTTAGTTGAAAGTTTTTTCATCACATTGATTTGATGTGCAATAAAGTTGCTCGAAATATAGGAGTAATGTACAAAGTTAAAAATGCTTTAAATAAACACAGTTTAACACAATTATATTTCTCTTTAATCCATTGTCATATAAATTATGCAAATATTGCCTGGGGTTATACTAATAAATCTAAACTGCTACCTCTTTATTGTCAGCAGAAGTGCGTTGCTCGTCTTATCAATTTGCTCATCAGATTGATTTGTTGTATTGTTGATGTGTTGCAGAAGAAACACTCAATATGGATTACAGTATAGGATTTCAATTTTACGTGCATGAATATGAACATTCAAATGCCTAATCCATATTGCTTACAAGCTACCAGTCAAGGAGTGGTCATCAAGATTAATTGACAAGCAACATATTGAAATGCATAAGAAACAAATTCAACTTGGCTTTCAAGAGAAAATGGAACTAATTGTCGATAGGCTTAATGCTGGCGGCACAGGAACATCTAATTATGAGATAACCTCCAAAAGGGCCTTTTAGAAGAATTGTTTTCTAAAGTCACAGAATTCAATTTTAACCTTCCATGTTGGAAGGTTAAAATTGAATTCTGAAAATATTCCATGTTGTCTGATTTGTATTTTAAGTGGTTTAGAGCTTGCTGCAGATTTATTCATGGAATACTGTACACACTTGGTTTTACGTGAAATTCACGGTACTACATGGCACAGAGCATTTACGAAATTTTTATTTATGCGCCCACTGTTGTTTATTACGTGACATTTTTAATTGGGCTCCTAGTGAAGAAGCTATAGAGGCCTGGATTAAATATTTTTAGATGTATCGTCAGCGTTTTATCAAATGCAATGAAGATTTATTTAAGTGTTGTAGTAATCCATTCATTTCTTGACTTGACTGAGTACAATAGTTAGTACTAGAAAGAAGATTTTACTAAAAATCTGCAGCTTTTAAAAAATAGTGTTTAGTTGTTGGTTCTTTTTTAGAACTTTAATTTTGGTTTCTTATTATTTTAGTTTTAAATATATTTGAAATTCAAACATATATGTTGTTAATTAAATATGACAGTATTCTATAATTTTGTTATATTAAAGCTGTACACATAAATTTATTAGTGCTACCAGAGGATGAAAAAATGTTAAAATTATGTTTTTTAGCTGTTTGCAGTAAATAAGTCATAAATTTTGTTTAAAAATTGACTGTCACTATGAAAAGCTCTTTACTGTGCACAATAAGGTATCTATAGCAACCAAACAAACTTAATATCTTAACAAAAAATGTCGACCTCATATGCCAAATTTAGAGAACATGACACACAAATAATCAGCAACTACCAAAACTAGGCTGTTGCTATGAAAAAAATAGGTATTCATAGCAACCAAATAAAAAATAACACCTTTATAAGAAGCGCAGAACTCACCCTGGTGCTCGTGCCAAATTTAAGATATACAGTCAACTCTCGATATCTGGAACACTAAGGAAACCGGAAAACAGTTTGAGATATCGAAAGTTCGAGGTATCAAGAATGGAGTTGAAAATAAGTAAAATCGCCCAATTTTTATTAGAAAATAAATTAAAATTTAAAATAAATTAAATTAAAAATAAAAATTACAATTTTTGGAAAAAAATCTGTTATCTGATATTGCTTCAAATTATCCCTCTTTTCCATCTTCATTAAATCCCCAAGTTTTAGTGCTAGGGATTGTATTTATTTGCTGTGTAGCAATGCATTTTGAAGCAATTCAAAAGCATTTTCAAATTGAACATCAGATGAGCGTGGAAGGGCTTTGACCTCCATACTTTCGTCAAAGCTATCTACAACTTCATAATTGTCGTTTTTGAAATTAGGGTATAAAATCTGAGCAATGAATTCAACATCAGTAGTATATGAACTGGTGGTTACTAAATTGAAATCTTAACCAATGTAAGATTCTGCTGAGAGATCTTCTTGGAAAACACTAGGATCTAACTCTCGAAAACGGTCATCGTAAGCTTTCTTTTTTTACATTATTACAATTATATATTGCCAAAAATAAAAAGAAAACAAGGTATCTGAAAAAAGATTAAAGGATCTTATGGTCAGAACCTTAAATAAGTTTAAACAAGCATATAACAAAAGTAACAATAATAATATTAAGCTTCTGCAAATTTTCAAAGTATATATTATACTGCGAAAGTATAAGTACTTCTTATATAATCGAAAGTAAGATCACGCTAATATACTCACCAATATTTTATATAAGCGTATACGTACCAAACGTACGTACCAAAATATAATAAAATGTTAAGTAAAAGTATAAAAGTCAACAAAATAAATAAGAATAAACTTTTTATAAATGTAAAGAAGAAAAGGCAAAGTTATTTCATACTTTTATTTAGTTAATTCATATTATTAATAATAACATATTATGTCATCTAACGAAAAAGGTAGGGTTTTTTAATTACTTTTAAAAAGGCGAAAAGTAATGGGTAGTTCAAAATCAAAATTCGTCAAAACAATTTTATTTCAAAGGTGTGGTACCCAATAGGCAATACAAAGTTAATTAAAGTTCGTTTGACAAAAAGGTTTATTTAAAAAATCAGTATTTCTCAAATTGTATTTAATGAAAGGTTTCGGAGTAAAAAAGACAGATAGGGACAAGTCATTTTTCAACATGTATACAAAGCATAAAGCATTATATATATTTAGCTTGTAAATGTTTAAAATTCTCATTTCAATAAAATAATGTTTTGCGTGAGAAAAGCGATTTGCAAAGCAAATTAAATGCATGTTTCTGACGGCGATAAAGGCTTTGCAACTTAATAATTACATAACTACTACATAATTTGCATAATTACTGTACAATATTAGCATAATTTAGATAACTGTATAAAGGAATAATAAAGTTTGATTAAAATTTTCTTATTGAAGTAGATTCGTGCTTTTAGATTATATAAAACTCCTATGTTTTTTGAAATTTTAGTGCCTATGTAGTCGATATGATGATTCCAAGTGATGTTTTCATCAAGATAAACACCTAATAACTTTTTTACGGAATCCTTTTTTATTTCAATTTGATTGATAAAAATTTGAGGTAAGTTTAATGGAAAAACCACTTTTTGGAAAGCGAATGGAATAAGGTCCACTTTGTTTTATTAGTATTTAGAGTTAACTTATTACATTTAAACCTCGATTCATGTCTAAGTTCTTTGTTCATTGTTTTAAAGACTTAAAAGATATCACTGTTAAATAGGATTAAGTTAGTATTATCTATAAACATAATACTTGTTAGTTTGAAGGCTTTATTTAAATCATTTATATAAATTAGGAAAAGGATTGACCAAAGAATTGAGCGTTGTGGGACTCCACATGTTATATAAAGACAAGTGGTGTGATAACCGTCATTACTCGGAACAAATTGTTTCGAGTAATGAAATAACTTTCAAACCATTTTAAAACTTTTTTTTATTCCATAGTGTTTAAGTTTATAGATTAAAATTTGGTGATCGACAGTATCAAAAGGCTTTTATAGGTCAATAAAAAGTTCTAATGTATATTGTGATTTTTTAAATGATTTTGAGATTTCACGTACAAGTTGGATAATTGCATGTTCAGTTGAGCTATCTTTTTAAAACAAAATCGATTAATGTAAAGTAATTTATTATCATAAAAATATTTGTATACTCTGCTATATATAGTTCTTTCTAAAATTTTTAAAAATGAGGAAAGAACAGAAATAGGGCGATACTTATTAATAATTTGGCGCTGGCGTAGCTAAAATATTTCTTTCCTTGTTTGTTTTTTTTAAATCATAATTTTTATTTAAAAAAAATATGTGCCCATTTGCCACCCGTTCTCTAGAAAAGAGCACAATAACGATGTTTCTATAAATGAACAAGAAAAATGGATTCACATCAATTGATT